GACTGTATAGTCCAAGATGGAAGACGGGTAACAGTAGAGAAATATGAAACACTTTAAAATTCCTTTGAAGTTCCAAATCGGTTTCTTTCAAGAAATAAGTGTCAGAGCAGTTGTAGCTCTATGTGACCTGTCAGTCATATAACAGTAGTTCACAAAGAAGTCAAATCATTTGCAGAGGTTGCTGTATTAGGAAGCAGAGCAGGTATTTGTTTTCAACTTCCGTAATCTTGAAGTCATCACTACAAGTAAGTAATCTGTTGCAGTTACAAGGTATTGGTGCAAATACCTAACTGTCACTTTGCTAGGGTCTCCAGCTGATTGTTTTACTAATGCAGAGAGAAGTTCTTTTAAACTTTAAAACTTGTTTGATAGAATCTGTGCTAATGAATCTACCCCATTCTTCAGCCCAGAAAAATAGGACAAAATCATCTTACTATTAAAAATACAAGAGTGACTTTTAACCAGCCCCTCTGCTTGTAGCAGACTTCCTGGTGTTGAAACAGAGAGGCTGGGTACTCTTACTGCTTTTGTGGGTCGTAACATTGTTCTGGGTTTAGCAGTAGCAGTCACTTTTCTTCTTCTTAGTAGCTGGTGCAGTGGGTTGCAGGGGACTGTGTTCCGGCTGGGATTAACCACGACAAAAGTCCAGAACATTGCCTGTATTATATGAGTCTTGATTAGACTGGAAATGAAAATTTAACCTTAATCTTACAAGAGAGACATATATTTCCAGCGTGGAGAAAGTCAATAGATATTTTTCCTACTGTTATTTGGGATGGGGGAGGGAAAGAAAGAGAAGAAAATAAAAAATAGAAAAGAAACAGTATTTAACCTGCATAGTAGGTGGGTACACTTCACAGCCTGCTCCTCTGATTGTCCAAACCAGGGGAGCTGTCAGTGCAGAATGTCTTCCTTGTGTCTGACCTAAATCTCCCCTGTTTTAAGTTTGAACCCACCAGAGCATACAGGGTAGTTGCTGGATCTGATGATCCAAACTTTTGGCCATGCCACAACTGGGATCCAGTCATGGAGGCTGAAGTTCCACAGCAGCGTCCATTCAGACAGTGCAGCCTCCACAGCACTGGAGAGGGATGAGAAATGTCTTTCAGATATGATGGGTGGATAGCACTCAGTTACTAATGACCTTTTCAGTCTGATAGTTGATCTTATCATACAGTTGGTGACATTTAGAAAAAAAAATAAAGTGAAATTTGGAGGAAGAGAACAGAGAAATATGTGAACTGTATGAAGATGGAATGCCTTGGGCAACTTTTGCCACACAAAAACTGAAGAAAGAATAGTGCAACATTGTACAAAAATGGTTGTGTTCTACAGTCTGAATATATGACATCAAAGAACCGAATACTTTTAAAAAAACAATATTTGCACAATGGAAGGGCCATTTTACCTTTGAGGCAGAGAGCAAAGGAACACTTCAGGGATGGCCTTCTATAGAATTGAAATTTAATACAGAAAAATTAAATGCCAACATGGCTTCTGTCAGTCGAGCATTATGTTTTGTTTTGTCTTCTATGCTACAATTACTGAAACACTAACATACAATACACCATTATAATCCATTTCTTAAACAAAATTAAGTCAGATATAAGTCAAAAGTAGACCTTAGCAGCAGAATAAACAGCAATTTAGAGCAGAGTTAATGGATGAATATGAGGTATCTGAGTTTTGTCCAATAAGTTTTCAGTTTTTAGTTGGTACTTTGGTAGGCAGATGCTGAGACTGCAACTCAGTGTGTTTAATGAAAGGATCAATTAACTAATTGACTTTCCCAATTTCAAATCTAAAACATCGTGAAATAGTAAGTGTCATATAATATTTCTGTGCCATCTGACCCAGTTGAAGATATTTGATGGGAAATTCCTTTACAAACAACCGAGAAAAAAGAGACAAGGATCTGATGACTTTTTTTACATTATATTTCAAAAATTATTTACCTTTAAGTTGCTTTTCTTGCCATAGCAATTTTCAGTCTTCACCATATATCACTAGGTTATTACTATTATATTAGTTTAAAAAGTACAGAAAGGTTTTCTATTTATGAAAATGTCTTACATGTTATATACAGCACATTGATATGAAAAATGTATTGTAAGAACCCATGTTCTCCAGGTGTGGAAATGAAACAGAGAAAATAAAACCCCATAGGCTTTCGAAACTCAATATGCTGCAGAAGGACTATTTAGAATAGCTTTGTGCAACGCTGATCCTTCTTGCCACTTGATGTTGCTTGCATGTGTTTAATTTAGAAGGGCTTATTTTATGGACTTGAGTCCATAAAAAATGGGTAACTGAGTATGGGATCTGCAGGTTGAAGTCTGTTCTTCTGTGAATCACCACAAATAATTATCTGTCCCTTAACTGAAATGTGATTAACAATTCCATCTATGATTTACATCTGACACTATGGTCTGTGTTATGTCCCCAAAGGACAGCCACAGTAGGTCTACAGTGCTAATGGTGTATCTACCCTGCAGTCACCAGCCACTGGCAATATGACAGCTGTTCACACAGGCATACACAACTTGGTGGTACTTTGTTGGGAGCCAGCAGCAGCATAGCCTTGGCAGCATGAAGTTCAGCATGGCAAGTACATCTGCTTGGGGGCCTTGGCAAATGCTAAAGGCTCGAGGGCAGTTCTGCATTGCGTTATCTATAGTGTGGTGGTAGCCCAGGATACCAGTCTGTGCTTGCCAGTCTTGGTAGTTTTAGGCTAAATCAACACAAACTACACTCATAACTTTGTCTTCAATGCAGAGTTATTCTAGGGAGAGTTGGGTGAGTGAACTGAATAGATAGGGCTCAATATATACACATTCCAGTAGGCATAGTTATTTTCACCTTCTCTGAAGGGCTAAGTAGTTACTCTTCTAAAAGGAGTTGAAAAAGAGCAATCCTTTTATTCTGGTATAATGTTCTACTATCTCTGATGACCAGGACAGCTGTTTAGTAATTGTTTTCATGTTTGCAAATGATTAATATGTACTGTCTTCTTCATCAAGCAAAAATATTAATGGCATTCGATAAATATTACAACATTTTAGAGTAATCACAGAGATACTCTGTAAGTTTATGGATGCCTAAGTGCAGTCTAACACTTAAACGCTTGGGAGGTCTTGAATGGCATGTGAATGAGCACTGATATTGTAAATTAGTTCAAATCAGAAAGCCAGCTGCAGCATATGCTACCATTTTATATAAGTGTGCAGTTCAGGCTGTGCTTTGTCACTGTCTGCAACAGGCCTAGAGTGTAACCTGCATGAGTATGTTTTCTTGCATTTCTTTCATTTCCTTGTCTTAAAATGGGAAAAAAAAACTATATCTAAGTGTGAAATTCCTTTATGGTAAATAGGCACTTCAAATGCTATTTGAAACTCTATTTAGACATTGCACAGTCTTTCAAAATATTTCCCAGTGTAACATTCTTTTCAAGAGACAGAAGCAAACGGTCTGTGTACTTCATGAAAGACAGCTATTCTAAAGCTATAAAGAAGGGACAAATTCTTCTGTTCTAAATTTGGATAGCCAAACCTGGACAACCTTCTCTTCTGCAGAACTATATAGCTCTGCCACTTTTTATTATCAATTATTTTCTCTAGGTGGCTGAGTCCAATATTGTTATTCCCAAGAGTTCAACAAGCCACTGATGTTTTATGCAGATTATTTTCTGCCATTGTTTTCTTTCAGTTCTGTCTGTGCTGCTCTTTGCATCTTTCCATACTGTTTTCTTTCCATATCAGCCAATTACCTGGTGAGCACTGACATTTCATCTTGCAGTAATATTTTCTGAAATATAATATGAATAGTAACCAATCAGATTTCTGTAGACACAGAAATGTCTGTATATGAAGAGGAAGGGAAAAAATATCTTTCTGCTACCTATTATATCTGCACATAGTGCAGTGCAGAGTGGCACAGAGGATGTTAATTTAGAGCTAACTTGTGTAACAAGAACAAACTTGGATATAAGGAGGAAATTCTTTCCTGTTAGGGTGGTGAGGCACTGGAATAGGTTGCCCAGGAAGGTTGTGAATGCTCCATGCCTGGCAGTGTTCAAGGCCAGGTTGGACAAGGCCTTGAGTGATATGGTTTAGTGTGAGGTGTCCCTGCCCATGGCAGGGGGGTTGGAACTTGATGATCTTAAGGTCCTTTCCAACCCTAACTATTCTATGATTCTATGATTCTATGATTTTGTTCAGATCTAACTCGAATACCTCTACACAACACTTTTATGTTGTATGGGCTTACTGTTGATCACCAGTCACCTGCAAGTTCTCCGTTTGGGATATATTGTTAACAAGCTCAAATACTACTGTAATTTTTTGGTTTCTGAGGCATTTTACATTGTGAGTACAAATTAGCCCTGTCTCATTGTTTCAGACTTCCCAGCCCAGCAGTTTAGCAAGATGCATGGTTTGTCTGCAGTTCTACAACATTATTTTGTCATTTGGTTTGATAATCTCACCTATTTACTTAAAGAAAAAAAGAAAAAAACAGAAGTTAACATTTGTCAACTAGAAGTTCTTGTAAATAGTCTAGACCCTGAAAGAGACACATATTATAGATGACACATTCTGTTTCCTGTTCAGTCTTTCATGAGCTCAGTAATCATGGGCAAGTCACTAAGTCTCTCTGCTTTCCTTTCATGCACTGGTGAAACAGTTGTGGTAAGAATATGCTAAGATGGTTTAGATAACTTTTCTAAAGTCATTGAAACCTTTGGAAGAGTTGGAAGTTTTGTGCAAGTCATTCTGTGGGTGAAGCTGAGGAGCTAGTAATTTGGATAGGATAGCAAAACAGAGTAAAATTAATGGAAACCAAGACATAATTTATATACTATATCAGTTAGAAAATGTCATTGTAAAAATTTAGGCAGTCTGGTGACAAAGATAGTTTAGGTAGCATCAGGGAGCAGTTCCATAGCTGATTTGTGGTAATACATCCCTGACAACATCTGTATCTGTGTCCCTTTCCTCTTACAGTATCGGTCAGGACGGGATCCTCAGCGAGGCTCAGACAATGTTTCTAACAAGTCTTCGGACAGTGATGTCAGTGATGTCTCTGCTGTGTCACGGACAAGCAGCGCGTCACGTTTCAGCAGCACAAGCTACATGTCTGTCCAGTCAGAGCGTCCAAGAGGAAACAAGAAAATAAGGTGAGCACAAGGAGCTGCAGTGCCAGCCACAGCCGTGTAATTTAAGTAACTGAATATTTGTCAGTATTTGTATTTGAAATTAATCCTTTGTCTAGGTTGAGATTTGTAGAGAATTTGCAAAGTACTTGTTTAAATGTCTTTTTCATCTAATGTTTTTGAAGTCTTCATGGTATTTATTTTTAGCCAAGTTTTGTCATCTTGGGGTATACTAGCAGACACTAAAATAACAAGCATATGCTGTCAGCAAGCATTTGACACACTTGGATTTTCACTTTCTGAAAACCATTTTAAAAAATACTTAATATGGCTGAAAAGACAGTTTAACTTGAAAAATTGTGATGGTAAAGTCAGAGACATCTTAATTTCTTTTAAACTGGAGCTGCTGAGCTTTCACAGACTCTTGTTTAATACTTAACACTAGTCCAACTTAACTGTAGACATACAACCACTGAACTACTCTTCAATAAGATGTGTTGAATGTGCTCCTCAAAATGTGCTGAACATAGTGTGTCTGTGAGCAAAACAAAGTCTCCTCTGAGCCCTGTGCACACGTAGAGGAGCTTTGGCTGTAAAAGGAATGAAATACCATTTTTCTTGGAAGGTGTGACTCACCTTCATCTTTCATCAAAATTCAGTGTCAGCCTATATTAACTTGCAGAAAATTGTCTTTTTGAGAGAAATAGTGCATTTGAAAAGATTGTTTAAACATCTGCTTATGAGAGCATTGTTAGGACCCCATTGTTTCTGTCAGAGTTTTGTGGACATTTCTTAATGTGATGTATTGCCATGCAACTTTTATTTGAAGAAGGACTTAGAGACTGTCCTAAGAAAACATACCATGGTTCTGTAGTGTATGCTGGAATTTTAGACAGCATGGTTTAAGTTATGACTGCTTCCATCCTTTTATTTAATTTCTTTTGCATTTCCATTCTTTTGAGTCACGCATGCCCTTGTCCATAATCTTTTTTTTTTTCTTTTTTTCTTTTGCATGCTCTTTGCAATATATGTTGACTTCAGAAGCACAAGGGATATAGAGGGGAAAAAAGAGGGAGGGCTGGAAGGGGATGAACAAGATGGAGTATTTCCTGAGGAGGAAGAAAAAGAGGAGGAGGAGGAAAAAGCAAAGGAGCAAGAAATTAATGAAAAAGGGGAAGGGCAAGAGGTGACAGAGAATTGTGATCAGGAGGAAATCAAAGGATCAGGGCATGATGAAAAAGCTCAAGAAGATCAAGCTGAGGAAGGGAAGGAGGATGACAGGTAAAATGTACTTCTGTTTCTATAGACCTATTCTGCCTCGTGTACCATGACCCTACTTGTCTTCCCACCCCCCTTTTTTTTCCCTTTGCTTAGCTTATAGTTTATGTTCTCTATGTTGGTTTTTTTTTTTTGTTTTCAATTATGACACTTCCATATTTAAGCAAGTTTCACTCTCAACTTCAGTGAACTTTTTCCGCATACCAAATGGTGCACTAACTTGACTCATTATTACGCATGCAAATACAGCATGCTATTTATTAAATTGGTTCAGACTAGAGTTTGGGTTTGACTGCAATAAACAACAGGAGCTGTAAGATTCCTTGTTATATTCCCTGCTTGACTTACTATTTCAGGGAAAAACCTTTTATTGGGTCATACCAATATCCAACCCATCTTTACTTTCATTTCCGGTAGTACTAAAGAAGAGAATTTGGATTTTTTTAAAACCTTTTTTGTGTAGGCTGATAAATATGCATATTGTTTGACAATAGACATGGATAAGCAAAGTCCCCCCGGTTTTTGTTGTTCCAGTAACTGCCATGGTCTGATGTATTGTGGCGGAGTTATGGGCCACTGCTGCTGTATTGTGTGCAGAAACATTTCAGAGTGATTTTTTCTGGTTTTATTAGATAATATTCTAGATTTATATATTTTACCACAATTCCTTTGAAACTTGACTTTTAATGTAAATAACTGACATTTTGCATTGCAAAATCTATGTAATTTGAATTAAGAGAAAGACAATATTTCTTCCTTCTTCATTAGGAAAAAATTACCTTGAGGTTTGCTGAATACTTTTGAACCCCTTCTCACCTACACAAGAATGGCAGAAAATCTCAGAAAACAATACTTTCTTTCAACCTGCTAGTTCTGCACTACCTATAGATAACATGCTTGTAAAGCTATGCTCATGCATATTAGGGTAAGCACAGAGCACTCTATGTCAATCCACTTTCTTCCTTGCTACAACTTACATCTGTATGTGCCTACAAATTCACACACACGTGAACATGCACAAAGCAGAGGTGATACCAAAAGAGAATCAAGATGCATAATGTCCATTCTGGGCTGGTATGGGCCAATATAGCCATACTACTGCTTTTATACATTGAGTGTCAGCATTCCTTCACTTGTGAGTGCATTTTATTATTCAGCAAAGTCAGCTGTTTAGAAGCAGCTGCCTTTAACGCTGCCTTGGCATACATCTTCCAGGAGCTACTGAATGGAAGTCTGGGAAAGGATGTTTTAAAGACCTTTTTCTTTCCTGGCTCCTACTACTCATTCATTAAGAATGACAAGTTTAATGGATCTGGAAGTCCTGCTTCTCAAAAAGCGTAACCTTATTTCTGGTTTCCAGCTATCACTCAGGTTATTCTTCAGCAAAAATGCTGTCCCTCACAGAAAGTAAAGTTCTCTTTTAGTAACAACTTCTTGTTTCCTGTGCCAGCTTGTTCCTCTGCTTGTTAGCTGTTCTCTGCCTTCAGGAAGAAGCAGCACAAGTTCAGGAGTCCCTGCTTGATAGAACAAGATATTATAAAATGACTACTGTTTGTATTAGATTTTGGCTCCCAACAAATCAGCCTCTAGTTTTATTTCCCGCTATGCCCATTTTGCCCACTTTTAGTCTGTAAGTTATGAACAAAAACAAAAGTTTCTCTTTATCTACCTTCCTTTCCTATGGTACAAGAAGTGCTCATCTTTTTAGTATTTTCTGAACATTCTTCTGACAGCACAGATTTAGTCCTGTATAGGTACAGGTACAGGTGTATATATACATACATATATATAACTCACCATCAAAAATTATCTCGTTAGGGATACATCCTACCTCTTGATGTCACTATGCTTATATACTTTATGAGTTACAGTAATAGTCACACTAAGGACTTTAATCTGCTGAGATCATAGGTAGATTCAGTGTAACTTAAATCCCATGCCTGTTTTAAAGAGTCCTTCAGTGCAATAAACTGCATTAGCTTTTGGAGCACTGGAGCACAATAAATCAATGAACTGCAGCATCAGATTTTGCCTTCATTAGACTTTGTAAAACTAAAGCTTGGCATATGGTTCACTTATAGGGAAAACATAATTATGTTTTTTCTTGGCAGTACATGTTAGTAAACAGAAAGCATGGATCAAGCTTCCCTGTTGTGATTTTTAAGGATTCCTTACGTACAGTTCCCTGATGTTATTTCGTGTTCCAGCTCCCTGATGACATCAGGGACAAAAAAAAGCCCTCTTAGAGCTAATGCGTGGGAATTCATCACTTTTATTGCAGGAAATCTGTTTAAGACTGCTCTAAATCTTAACTTTTCTTAGCATTTTTTTAAAAGTATCAATCCTAAGGCATCCTAATTCTGATTGTCATGACAATTTTATCATATGAATACACAGCAACTGTAAAGACAGCACAGGATTTCGCTGTTCTACACACACTGGTGACATACAGAAAAAAAATTCAGCCCCTTTTCCAAGCACATAGAGTCTGTCATGAAATGATGTAGGAGTCCAGAGATGGAAAACCAGGAGAATTAAGAACTGTTCCACATGACAGGAGCTGGTTACCATACGGGGCTGGGGACAGCTTGACATCAGGGTTGATTTAAAGAAAAAAGATAAGATAGTTTTAGGAGTGTTTCTGGAGAGCTCTTTTCAATCATTAGAAGCAATGTGGAAAAACATGAGTTGCTTTCTAAAAATATGTCAGATGGATGATAGGGGAAATCTGATGAGCAGCAGGAGTTGATCTTTCAGTCTTGAATGTGAGAAGGTAAATGTGATAGGGTACAACTGCTAAAATACTGGAAAAAAAGAAGAATTATGTACAAATGGATAAAAGACTCTTCAGTGGTGTCAGACAATAGGGTGAGAGGCAGCAGGCATAAACTAAAACACAAGAAGTTCCACCTGAATTTAATAACTTCCTTACTGTGAGAGTGACTGAGCACTGGCATAGGTTGCCCAGAAATGTGACTGTAGTTCCAGAAATGATGAAAGCAAGACAAGTTTCTGTGTTACTTTCTAAAGGACTATGCTAAAGCATGTTTCTGTGCTTTGGGGAAAAAACCAGTGATGACCAGGTAGCCAGAGGTAAGAATAAGGAAGGAAGTGTGGGAGAAAAGGAAATCAGAAGATAGCATCAAATCAAACAGTTGAGGAAGAGATCCAGTGAGAAATTCCTGCATTCATGACAGGAGCAAGGGAAGAGAAATGTATCAAGAGAAGAATGCAGGGACACCACAGAAGAATTGGTCATGTGTTTTGCTCTGTATTGGAAGAAACCGATGACATCACGTGTGAAGAAAAGTGAATGCTAAAGGACAGCTGAAGAAATGGAGCTGGTTAAGTAGAAAAATGACACAACTGAGGAAAGAGAACTTGTGTTAGAAAAAGTCAGATAGGATGTAAATTTGCAGAGGCACTTGAGGACACATGAAATAGAGTGCAGGATGTAGTTTTAAGTAATTGATTTCTTCAGATACAAACCTTTTTATCTTCCTAATGCCTTTTCATGCTCTCTATGCCCCTTCCCTTCTTGGGTTTAAAGATTCATTTCAAATTCACTTTAGTTCTTTTTTGTGTCATTCAGTAAAAAAAAAATAATAAATCTTTAAAGAATTTAATTTCTAGGTTTTAAAACTGATTCCTAATGAGTGTTTGTTCCTTAGCTTTTCATTATATTGTAATCTAGTATTTCAGTTTTTATGAGCCTTCCACTGTGATTGCAGCTATTGCCAGTTAAA